AGAAATTAATAGTTGTTACAAATAACATTTCTTTGTCTGTTTGTACGCACACTTACCCCCTCTCGTAATTTTCCAATTTGGTCTCTCACACTTTCCCCACCAATTAAAAGGACTTCCCTGAAAATCAGAATTAAAAGATAATAAATAACAAGTAATTATGAATTCTCTGAAGTATTACGCTTTGGTTCAACGGTACCATATCTTGACTACTGCTGCCTTGTATGGGAGCCAATCGGTGCCACGCTTGCAAACAGACCACAAGCACTCCAGAATAAAGCAGCAAGAGTCGTTTTAAGTCTGGCACACACGAGAGCTATCTGCTGAGCAAAAATTCACTCGTGACCATTGGCGTAAGCAAGTTCCCCCAGTGTGCCGCGACGTTTTCAAGAGCTTTTGTTCACGCGTGCCATGTTCACCGTATATTCAACATGTTGAATAATTTTGTGCAAGAGTGCATATATTCCCCACGTGTGACGGTTCGATGTATTCCCCACGGTTTGACGCCCTCGTGGAAACCAACAAACTGTTGACGAGGCTAGCGTCTTAAAATAAAGTTTACCATACCATACCATCCAGCCGAAGGGGCTAGCGTTGGTAAATATAGTTTTAATAATAAGAATGATAAAAATATCTTACTTTATGCTTGGAGACGGAAGGTATTTCTTAAACATCGTTACATTATTGTGCGTCTGTAACAAAATGGAAATAGAGAATTTGAACAAGAGAACGAATTACGAAGACGAAGACGCACTTGACAATTTTTGCCCCTCTGCGCATCATCTCGCGCATATTGAGGTCAGCGGTGGTTGTTCAACCATCACAGGTTATAGATTATGAGGCTCGCTGTTTATATTAATGCTGATCCTAATCCTTACCCTGACTCCGACAAAACAGCGAGATATCAAACTATATTCCGTCTTCGTTCTTCTGCCTTCGTTAAGAACGAATATTTTGGCAAAATTCGTCATGAACTTTGTTCTGAACGAAGGTAGAAGAACAAAGACTCTTACACGCGTAAAAACGCTCAGGTTGTTGCAATATTGATGAAAACAGGATTGAACAATGTTTTGTTGCCCACATTGTTCACAGTTGTCAACAATATTGAACAATATTGTTACACCCGATTCAGTTTCAACAATATGTACAACATTGTTAACAAGTGTGAACAACGTGGGCAGCAAAACAATTTCACACATACATCTCTAATTTTATGTTCCACAAGTCTATAACATACACTTATATTTCTTAGGCTCACATTTATACAAAAACAAGTGGTTTTTTATCTTTTATCCTCAGGTTTTTCAAATGCAACATTTTTTCACAGGCATACATTGTGATTGTGCCAACAACACCAGGCCATTACCCTATCATATTTCACACTACATTTTTTCATCTAACATTTAGGGACTATTGTGGCATAAAATTATTACTAGGACACCAATATGGTTCTCATTACCTACATCTAAACCTAAAAAAAATCGGCGTTTTTTGCCGTGTAGGAAGCAGTTTCATATCTCGCTGTTTTGTCTGGGTCAGGAAAAGGATTCAGCATTCATAAACAGGGACACGCGATTCTATAACGGGAAGACATAACCAGGAGCAGCTACGATAAATGCAACTATACAGCCTGCACTACTGCAGGCCTTAGCTCACTTGGTAAGAGCGCTGCAACAGAATTGCAGGGCCGCAGGTTCGAATCCTGCCAGAGGGCCTGTAGAGAATCCAACAGAATCGGTTACACGAGCTTAATTTAGCCTCGGCCGAAATAAGATAAGTCACGGATGATGGGTATAACCAGAGGCGACGCAATGGCTCAGCGTGTTAAATATTTGACTGCAGCTCTGGTTGCCTGCGACGGCCAACGTCACTCACTACCCATGGTATAAGTCGTCAATTTGTTCGCAAGTTGTGTATAAAATGCGCTCAAGGTCTCACCCATGACCTATCGACCGCAACAAAAATATTGGTTATTACCTGCTGTGCCAACTCTCTGGACGGCTAAATAGCAATGAAAAACAAAAAAATTAAAAACAGTAAGTTAAACATGTCACATATTCTGTACAGTACCGGACTCCAATTTTATACGAGAGATTCACACTACATCTGATTCAGTAGCTACAAAGTAAACAAATTTACGAGTCCCATACATACGATTTTTTTGGCCACAACAACATTAGTCTTAGTACCTCCAAAATAATTGCCGAGGGTGAACATTCGTTGTTGAATTTTCCCGGGGTACGAGATACGATCCCCGTCTTTGATGACGTCACGCATTCAGGTCGTGCCGAACTGAGACCAATATAACCACCCTAGAAATTTGAATGAAGAAATACTGTATAAGATAAGTTTTCACTAGAACTAAGACTTGTATGGAGTTATACAGGGTGTCCCAAAAAATGCAGTAACTGTCTTCAAGATTTTTACACACCACAGTCAAATAGAAAAAGGTTATGAAACTCGATGCAGATATAATAGACATCGTTATCTAAGTTTTTGTCTTGTTTTATGCGAGAAATGGTCGCTTCATCGTCATGTGTGCATTGTATTTTCGCCAGAGCAACCAATAGCCATATTTTCATTTAACCATTGTGTAATATCACGACTGGGTAATTAAACCAACATTCTGCTACTGGTTGACTGGGCGGAAAAAAACAATACACACGTGAAGTTGAACCGACCATTTTTTGCACTAATTTTTGTAGAAGGTATCAAAAATTCAGTCTAAGAAATGAGTTTTGACATTTCGATGTTATACTGTAATTGGTCTACTAGAACCGACGTTATGGTCCGTTCAAAAGTATGAGATCATCAAATATATTGGCACTTACAACAACTGATATTTGATTTATATGATATATGATAAATCATGATGATGATGATAATGATATATCATTAGCCAAGTCCAATATACTATGTAATGACTAAACGCTATATACCTTTGGTGGATATCTGAAAGGCATCGCACCAAAATTAAATTTTAATTCTGCATTCTATAAATTAAAAATAAATAAAATATAATTGAATATTAAGAAATTAAATTAATTTGAACGATACATTGTTATTATCAAATGTCGCCGCGCCAGTTATGTTAATTTATGTTCAATATCCCACATTAAAAATGGTCACGCAATATCTTCAAATCTCAAGCGCCGATAGAACGAGGATGAAAGAGTAAAGACCTTACGATGTAGGACGGCAACATGACGTCGACGGCTAGTGATACAATGAAATTGACAATATTTAAGAAAAGAAATGGATAATTAAATATTTAGACGTCGTACACGGTCTACCTTAGAACCGGTAAACCAGAGCTTTTTCGTTCTGTGTAAAACAACATGCGAATTTTAGTACTTAAGAAGTGGGTACCCAGCAAATTGGTTCAGGAGCAATGCAGAAAGCCTCTGTTTTGATCTCGTCAAGCTGTTTTAAATTCATACCATCATACGATTGATAATATACGCGCGATAAGCTTTCTTTAAGCCTGTTTTATACGTGGAATTTCGGTCGCGTCGAATGCAATTCAAACAATAGATAATGAAGCTTAATGAGGTTTATCATCTCATTATCTATCGTCTTAATTGCATTCGACGCGACTAAAATTCGACGTATAAAACAGGTCTAACAATAATTTATTTGAATAAATTTATTTTGGCCGTCGTCGTCGCTTGCCGTCCTACATTCCATAGGTCTTTATTAACGGGAGTTGACGGCAGTTGCAACTCTTACTTGAGTCTGACTGCCATCTCTCACCAACTGCAATGCACTCGCATCAACTCACATTAACTTTGAACTGGTTCAAATCTTGATGAGACTTTCGCCCGTATTCTAAAAGCTCACTCACACTCACACTCAATGAGTGGTAGCCTGCGAACAGGCTCTCAAGCTGAATTGAGAGCCTGCATCGATGACTAATGAATTTGAATATCTGCCCCGTAACGTTCGTTTTTCCAAATATGGAATGTCTATCCTTATATGGTGTTGTTTACAACTTTCGTGCAAACTAAATTTAGACCGTGCAAACTAAATTTAGACCGTGCAAACTAAATTTAGACCGTACAGTTTATACTGTTTTTCGAAATATAAGATATTCAAGCAAAAGTTTAAATGTTTTAAATACTGTTTTCTCAAAACAGAACATTTCGTGCTTTGAGATAAGATGGCCAAGACCAATTTGATCAGTTAATGTATTTTTTATGCATAGTGTTTCAACAGTTGACATATATAGAGCTCAGCGGAATAATATAAATTATAGCATCTGACCAATGAGAATTTCGCGTCACGATTTGAGACGCAGATATTCAAATTCATTAGTCATCGATGCAGGCTCTCAATTCAGCTTGAGAGCCTGTTCGCAGGCTAAATGAGTGGAGGTTCAATGAATCCAATTCAAACTGAATCCAGCCCTAGGACATGCAACCAAACTGAATCCATCCCTACGACGACTTGATCAAACATAGGTACGACACAAACCCTGCAGCTATTCAAAAACAGCATTGAGACTCAAGAGAAGCTCAGATTGAACCTCCACTCATTGAGTGCGAGTGAGCTTTTATAGAATACGGGCGGTACGATTGAATGAAGTTTGATCAAGTCCCAGGATGGATAAACATTGATCAACTCATGGGCGTACCGGAAGGAAAAATTTAGGGGGGCGGAAAAAAATTTGCCCGACTTTTTCGGATTTTGCCAGACTAAAAATTTTTTTCCGGAATTTATTTTGGCGACCTCTCCCCCCCCCCCCGTCGCCAAAAAAATTTCGGTCAGTGTACCATTTTAGGGGTCAAAAATTTTTTCCAGACATACCAAAATTTTCCGGAAAATTTTCCTAACAAAATTCTGGAAACATCACAAAATTGACCACAAAATTTACAGAATTTGTCTCATTTCTTTTTTTAATACACCAAAATTGCCCGACTGTTCAGCGAATATTGCCCGACTGCCCAACAAACTGGGTGGCTGCCGCCCCCCCCCCCGCCCGGTACGCCCATGGATCGACTCCTACAGAGCCAGATTATACTATGCGACTACTCACCCTTCAGCTATTCAAAAACATCATTGACACTCAAGAGAAGCTCAGATTGAACCTCCACTCATTGAGTGTCAGTGTGAGTGAGCTTTTAGAGTACGGGCGTTTGTGTTCGTTTACATGACTGGTTTACTAAGCAGTGAACTCTCGTCAACTCTTACGCAACTCTTGTTCTCGTTGAGAACTCTCATGCAAAATTTCGCTTCTCAACTCTCATCTCTTTTCACCAAAGCTTCAATGTTCATACAAAGAAAAGATCGACGTTATATAACAATATGAACACACTACTGTACCTTTAAAACTACAGCTGCATAAAATGGAACGCCTTTGAGATTGTAAGGAATTTCATAAGCTTCACCGAAATCCACACCTTAAAACATACAGAAGCATTTCGCACATATATTATAATATATAAAAGGAATATAAATTCTGAAAAATTGTTGCAGGTATATAGAAATATCAAGTTCTACATCTAATGGCGTATTCTTACCATTTTTACTCCATTTTACTGTTCCGTCTTCGAGATCGATATAACTGCCAATGACGTCATTTAAACCGAATGACTAGCAATTAGATTGGATAAGTTTTAGTTCAAATTGTAATCTTGAAGCTTCTAAACCTTTTAATACAATGTAATTTGCACTATCATGCAAAGTCAGATCATAACTAATAATTGCGCTGTTTCCGCACAACAAACAAAAAATGGTTCTGTGTTGAATGCATGCTGCCTTCAAAAACCGTGCCAATAAAAATATATACAGTAACTATTGTTGAATCGATATGTATTACTGGATAAGAACACGGGAACACCCGAGGAATGGAGCAATGCTATTTCCATAGCCAAATTTAAAATAAAGTCAGAATTAATTCTGGAGTCCAAAACAATGGAGGGAGTTCTGCTATCTAGTATCTAAACCTATATATATAGTAAATGGCTATCAAAATCAAACTAAGGCTTAAAATGCAATTGAGCGCAATTTTAGAAGGAACACAATTGCACGCACACTACAATTAACTCCAACATTCTTTAGCCTCATCAGTCCAATCATGTTTCATGCCAAAACATGTCATACCAGGGAATATCCGATATTTTCAAGCACTTTTCTACTACCGGTATACGGTAGTAAATACTCAATCTTCGATTGAGTTTTAAAACTCAATCTTCCTACAGAATGATTTTTAAAAATTTTTTTTAATGTAAATGTTCAATTAAGAACAAATTTTTCTATATAATTTTGTTCAAAAAGCTGTCGAAAACTGTTTCACTTCTGAGACACAAAATCACGTGGAGTAATACTCATGCCCATGTACATTAGAAATGTGTATCACAAACAGGGCCGCACATTACGAGGTGTGTGAAGGGGTGTGGTACCCCCATAATTTCGAGAAATAGTCCAAAAAGTAGGTCCCAAATGAACCATTTGTCGATCCCAATCGTCCGGTGCAAACATTACGCAAAATTATTTTTCCGTGAGATTTATTTTTTGAACAGTGTCCAAAAATAATAAATAAGGTTACAAAATTGCTAATTGCCATTATACACTACCTAAATCAACTTCCTCTCAGTGCTCTATACAGCCAGCTGATGGCCAAACTAGATTCTGAAAATGCCATTTCCGACGATCTAGAGACTTCAAAGTTTCAAAATTTTCCTGCTCGCCGCCAACCATGGCGGCGCCTCGTGGAACTCCCCCTTCCAAAATGTAAACACGTAAAAACTCGGTCCCGAAATATTTTAAACCCCTGCAAAATATTTTGGAATGTGCGCCCCTGACCACAAAATATTTTAACGTCCTCCCCCCAAAAGAAACTCGATCTTCTTCTGAAAACGGTAGTAGACTAAAGTGCTTGAAAATATCCCTGTATACTTACTAATATACACATATACGGTTTTGAATACCTTGGGCTCGGCCGCCATATATGCATGGTACCAACAAAAAACAAGTACGCTGATAGCAAGAGTTTCGCGTACGTAGTAAGTGGCTAAACGCAAAGAAGTACCAGACCGTAAAGGTCCATACAGACCGAATGCGATTGGACAACGCGACGCGAATTTTCAGTTTTTAAAAACAAATAAAACCGTCAACGGATAAAAATTCTATAAGATATGCAGACCAAATAGCTAAAATTGCTCAAGTGGTTCCGAATATTTGAAAAACATAGAAAAATATTGAAGTTAAATGTCATTGAAAATTCGCGTCGCGTTGCCAAATCGCGTCCGGTCTGTATATGGACCTTAATAGAGACCTTAAGATTGACGTTTACGGCAAACGTCAAACCGCTAGCGAAGTTTTTGATTTTACAACTCTATTATTATAGCTTTTACACCAGTTTTGAAATATGTTAAACTTATTAAACTTGTGCTCTTTATCAATGATTTAAGAAAG